CCAATTAGAGCACACTGCAGTAGTCCAAGCAGGTGATAATCTGGGCAAGACAGTGTGCAGACAGGCAGGGTCTCAGCCACCACACCAGATGGAGCTGTTAGACAGCCAGACACAGAATTAACCTGCACCTCCATGGACAGCTGTGAGGTAAGAGGTTGGAACTGATCCTATACAACTTGACTAGATGGAGCTTTGGCACTCGCCCACCCCAGCCCTACCTCCATGGTGGAGGCTACCTCCTTCCAAATCTGAACGCTTTTATCTGTGAAAAACTTTGCAAAGTCATTACAGGGGATCTTGGAGTCCTTACCAGACCCCGATAGCGAAGGTGGTTCTGTTAGACTCTGAACCACTTGAAAGAGTCTCCTGGTACTGTTTTCTACAGATGCAATAGAGGCAGTGAAAAGGTCCTCTTCACCATCGCTATCACCACTTGGTAGACTCAATGTTTAGTTCTAACCTGTGTTCGGTCTGAGTCAGAATGAGTTTTCCGCCACCAGCGCTCTAGCCATCTCAGCAATTGTTTCATTGTCCTCAGTTCCAGGGTAAACCACAGGACCTTCCAGACTCCAGAGGGTGCTTTGTAGCCAGACAATCAATACCCCTGGTTAACTCCACATTCCAGTGGGCCACCAGGAAATCAGCTGAAAGGCCATCAACATGGGATAAGACATCCCCTGCTACTCTCTGGAAGCTATTTGGATACATTAAGTGGCAGGTGTGAACCATTCAAATTGGTCCCACCTCCCTGTGGAGGGGAAGGGCCGTGGAGAAGACTAGCTGCACCAGCAAGTGATCTGACCATGGCACTTCTTTTCTTCCACTGGAACTTAGTGTCAGATCACCCACATCTATGGAAGTAAACACCAGACTGAAGGCATGTCCATGGCTATGAGTCAGGCTCACTCATTCAGGGACAGCCCCATGGGCACCATACTTTCCACAAGGTCCCAAGCAGTCCCTCAACAGGTTGTGTTGGCATGGATGTTTAAATCCCCTAGGACAACCAAACTAGGTGTCTCCAGGAGAACATACCTTCTACCCCCCACAGATACAGAGACCAAAGAGCTGGAAAGGACTCAGGGCATCATGAAGACTAGCCTTTTCCCCAAATTCAGAACAATACATTCTCTTCCAATATTCATTACTGTGCAATCCTACCTTAAAATTATGTCATTATTATATAATAATTTATATTACACATTTTTTTGCCAAAAAATGTAATTAACATTCCTCAAATGAAAATAGGGACATTCCTCACTCCCCCGCAACTGACTCTTCTCTCTTCCCCCATATTTTGTCCTCCCCACCCGCTGAGCATTTCCACCACCACTACCGCAATGGGACACAGCACACACTCTCCATTGCCCTCAGAAAACCCCTTAATCTCAATTTTACTTTATTCTTTGGTATATTTACAAAAAGCAAAGCACACACCAATAAATAAATTTTAGAAAGGGGCAAGATTAGACATGGATGCACAAAGCATTAAAAACAAAAAACCTAGACCTCTTTCGCTCGCTCCACTCTCCTTTTCTTCCACCCCAGGGCCTGCGTGTCAGGGCCGGCGCCCCCACAAGCCTGGGCCTCAGTGGGAGCAGCTTCTCTTCCTCCTCACCTGCCCTCCAACAGGCACTACAAGCTGCCCAGGCAAAGAGGCCCACAGTGGTGGCCATGGAGAGGCAACAGGATGCTCCCTCTCAGCCACCACCATCACCAGGACAAGTGCCAGCTCATCCTCCTCCCTGAGTTCAGTGGTGACAGCACTGGTGGGGAAAAGAGGGACATTAGGGAATAAAATCAGAAGCTAGGATGGCTTGTGTAATTCCAGGACTGTCCCTGGAAAATAGGGACAGTTGTAGGGTATGGAATTATACATTAATTTAATGTGGCAAACAGGGAAAAAACTGGGCGGATAGCTGTCAGAGAGAGAGAGATGAGGGGTGGAAGGGTGGAAGGAAGGAAGGATTGTAGAGAAAAGAGGATAGTGGGAAGGGGGAATCCTTCTTGGATAGCTCAGTTGGTCAAGCATGACATTCTTAATCTCTGGGTTGTATGTCCAATCCCCATCATGGGCAGAAGATTACGGCGTTGCCAGGGGTTGGATTAGATGACACTCATGGTCCATTCCAACTCTACATTTCTATGATTTTGTGAAACCTTCTCTGGCCCTATCCACATTTAGCTGAAGCCCTGCCCACTTTTGACTCTAGTCCTACCAACTATCGAGTATGTTGCTCCTGCCCTAAGTCATGGATGGGTCCTACCAGAAGATCCAAGTTGGCCCATGAAGCAAATTCCCTAGCCCATACACTGTGAAGAACTTGCTGGTGAGTTCAGCCAGCAGGAACGAACCCTCTGCTCATTTCCAAGTGAGTTAAGGGATCAAGCTTGCTGGGTGCTACTTCACCAGTGCTTTCCCCATAGGGACCTGCTCACCCATCAAAGTTGGCCAAAGGTGTGGGAAGAAGATAAAAATCTGACCCACTAGCCCAGAAAACGTCCCCATTCTTGCCTTAAGCAATGCAGCCCCCAGTAGAAAAGAGGGATTCCCCACCTCATGAGCGAAAGCTTTGCTTGCAAATAGGGCAGGTGTTGGAGGAAGCAGGGCAGGGGAAGAGCTTGTAAGATGTATATGAAGATGAAGGGAGAATATGAAGATGAAGAGAGAAGTCAGGCAGCAGTAGCAACATATCCAGAGCAAGCTTGAGAGCCAATGTGGTGCAGTGGTTAGAGTGCCAGACTAGAACCTGGAAGATCAGGGTTCAAATTCCCCACTCAGCCATTCCCCACTTGGTGCCCTTGGGCCTGTCACTGCCTCTCTGCCTAACCTATCTCACAGGGCTGTTGTGGGGATTAAATGGGGAGGGGGGAACACTGCATGCCACCTTGAGCTCCTTGAAGAAAAAGGTGGGATTTAAATGCAATCTATAACTTAGCAAGCTGGGAGGTGAGGAGGAGATTGTGTTGGGATACTTTTACTTTCCTTGGTATATAATAGATAGATAGATAGATAGATAGATAGATAGATAGATAGATAGATAGATAGATGATAGATTATAATGGTTGCTAGCTGCCTTGAACACCTTGTGGTGGAAAGGTGGCATATAAATTTCAGCAAATGAATAAATAAGTCCTATCTTCCTTCTCCACTGGGTCAGCCAGAAGAAGGGTCCCATGTGGGGGTTTCAAGACACCACCCTTCACACCCACATCCAAGTCTTGTTATGCTTCGGATGATATGAGAGGCAGAGGAGGGAGAGAGGAAACATTTCAGGGGGTTGGACTACATTACCCATTGGACCCCTTCAAACTCTACAATTCTCTGATTCCTGCATTGAAGGTTGGGCTGAATGATCTTTTAATTACATATCTAGTCTTATCATTCCAAGCCCTCATTCTCCCTCATCATCTTGAGGGGTTCTGGTGTCTCTGCGTTTCTCCGCCTTTTGTTTCCAGTCTTCTTTAAATTATACATGCCCATCCATTTCCCATCCTCCCACGCCAACTCTATGTCTCACCACCCCGATTCCTCCCCCTTCCCATCTCCCTCCCTCAATTTGCCTTGCTCTTCTGCACTATTGTGTCATTTTTAAATCTGCCTTTGATACAGCACACAACCTAATGATTATTCTGGGGTCAAGCTAGGCAGGTGCCGTGAATCCTACTAATCCGACTCTCAGAACCTCCGTCTGTAATCACTCCTCCCAATCTGCAGGGATGGCATCCTAATTTCTCATTAGTAAGTGTCTTGTCGCTGCTGAGCTGCTGAGAACTCTCAGCCTTTGGGGAAACAATGAGGCATTCATTAGCACAGCCAGGGAAGGGGGGGAGTTGGAAAGAGTTCTTTGGACAGGAGGAAATGATGGTAGAATTAAGAAGTCCTGGAAAACTGTGACTGCTCTGTTCAGGGTGGTCCACTTGTTAGTCCCATCAGAAGAGGGCTAGCTGGCTGTAATCTGGTTGGGATTCAACGACAGGAGGTTGAAGTTCAGAAGCGGGGGTGGCAAACTTGATGTGGCCCTCCAGATGTAGGCCAATGAGTATGATGTCCAAATGGTGTTCTCCTTCATTGGCCATCTGTCAGGGGTTCTTCAGTTGTTATTCCTGCATTGCAGAGGGCTGGACTAAATGACTCTAGAGCTCCCTGCCAGCTCTACAGTTCTGTGATTCTGTGAATGAGGGTCTCCCCAATGGTCATGCTGAACACTATACCACACTGGCTGGCAGTCAGATAGGCAGCATAAGATATACTTATCTGTGAGGTGGGTGGTAGACTAAATGCACACATTTATGTATGATTGTTCTTGAAAGATTTTATTGGTGCACAGGTTGGTTGCACTCAGTGTCTTGCTTCTAACTGTAGCAAGGGAAACTATGGGTAGTGGTGGTGGTTGCAGAATCATTCCCCAATAATCCATTTTCATGGGTTATCTGGTTTAAAGGGGAATGGTGTGTGTGTGTGTGTGTGTGTGTGTGTGTGTGTTTTAATATTTGTGAAATTATGCAGGGAACAGAGAATGTGAATGGGTTGGTTGCCAGTATTATACCTATTTAGGGTATAGCAATTGAAACTGATGGCATGACTTACTCTGATGGGTCTACTCTGAGTAAAGTTTTGACAGATTAAACACAACCTAGTGCAGAACAGTCACATAATACTCAGTGCTGTTTAGGGATTTTTTTTTTTAAAAAAAAAGATTGATGTTTTAATGTATTTTTAATCTCATGTTGGAAGCTGCCCAGAGTGGCTTGGGAAACCCAGCCAGATGGGTGGGGTATAAGTAATAAATTGTTGTTGTTGTTGTTACTCTGCACTTCTAAGAAATCAGCATTTTAATGTGGTGGGATCTACACTTTGGAACTCCTTGCCTATCGACAACTTCCACTTATCTACTTCATTTCTCTCACCTCTACTTTGTGGCATTGAGTTAAAATGATACCCTAGACAGCTGCATTTAGAAATTTGGAGTTCATGCCCCTGTCTTTCTCCCTTATAGGACAATACAGCAATGGCTGTCCCGGGTTCAGTCCCTGCTCTACTGCAATGAGAACGGGTTCTGGGGAACCTTCCTGGAAAGTCAGAGGAGCTGTGTCTGCCATGGAAGCACCAGCCTGTGCCAGCGACCAATCCCGTGCATCATTGGAGGCAACAACAGCTGTGCCATGTGCAGCCTGGCCAACATATCCCTCTGTGGCTCATGCAACAAGGGCTACCGTCTCTCACGGGGTCGATGTGAGCCTCAGAATGTGGACTCAGAGCGCAGTGAGCAGTTCATCAGCTTTGAGACGGACTTGGACTTCCAGGACCTGGAGCTGAAGTACCTCCTGCAGAAGATGGACTCTCGCCTGTATGTGCACACCACCTTCATCAGCAATGAGATCCGCCTGGACACCTTCTTTGACCCGAGGTGGCGCAAGCGCATGTCCCTCACCTTGAAGAGCAACAAGAACAGGATGGACTTCATTCACATGGTGATTGGGATCTCCATGCGCATCTGCCAAATGCGCAACAGCAGCCTGGACCCCATGTTCTTTGTCTACGTTAACCCGTTTAGTGGAAGCCATTCCGAAGGCTGGAACATGCCCTTTGGAGAATTTGGCTACCCACGCTGGGAGAAAATCCGCTTGCAAAACAGCCAGTGCTATAACTGGACCCTGCTGCTTGGGAACAGGTGGAAAACCTTTTTTGAGACTGTCCACATCTACCTACGCAGCCGGACTCGGCTGCCCTCCCTGATGCGCAATGAGACTGGCCAAGGGCCCGTGGACCTCTCTGATCCCAACAAGCGTCAGTTCTACATCAAGATCTCAGACATTCAGGTGTTTGGATACAGCTTGCGCTTCAATGCTGACCTCTTGCGCAGTGCAGTGCAACAGGTCAACCAGTCTTACACACAAGGCGGGCAGTTCTACTCCTCCTCCTCCGTCATGCTCTTGCTTTTGGATATACGGGACCGAATCAACAGACTGGCACCTCCTGTAGCACCAGGGAAGCCCCAGCTGGATCTGTTCTCCTGTATGCTCAAGCACCGTCTGAAACTGACCAACAGTGAGATCATCCGTGTGAATCACGCACTGGATCTGTACAACACCGAAATCCTCAAGCAATCTGACCAGATGACTGCCAAGCTCTGCTAACCAAGACTTTATGTACTTAGGTACTACCAGACTCACCTTTTTGCTGTAAAAAACAAACACAAAACCCCCGACCCAACATTAAAAAAGAAGTTAAAAGAAAGAGATTTAAACAAATAAAAAAAATGTAAAATGTAATTAATATACGAGAGAGAGAGAGAGAGAGAGAGAGTGATGGAAAGGTCTTTGTTTATTGGAATACTGAAAGAAAACCATTCAAGCAAATATGTAAAACTGCCGGGCATGTTTAGTTATTCCTGTAATCATTAAAAAGGGTCAGAACGTGAAAATCTGCTGAGGTGTTGCTCGGTGGGATTGGGAGTAAACAATATGGGATGGGGGAGGGAATTACAGAACATGCAGAAACGGCTTTTTTGAGATTCCCTGTACTTAATTGTAAAGATTTCAGCTATGCAGGTGCCAAAAGGAAAGAAAACCAGAGTGAGAAAGAGAGAATTCTGTGTAAATGTACCAAGAGTTGCCATTTCTCCTAATGGGAGCTAATGGCCAAAGATAAAAGAAATTTCTTTTGTGAAGTGTTACGGAAGCTTTATTCTCAGTCATTTCCCCCACTACTCTAGGATGAGTTTGACGACGACCATGACTACTACTTTGATTTGCATTGCCAAAGGGTATAATTTTATGGTTTGGAATTAAGGGTTTACCCAGCCAGTAATGCCTGGATGTGCTACAAACCACAGTGATAATATCTTTCAGAAGTTATTTTGCATCAGGGATGGGGAGACCTCTGGCCTTCCAGATGTTGTCAGACTCCAACTATTGTCAGTCCCAGCCAGTATGGCCAGTGATGACAGGAGTTGTAGTCCTGAGGTGAAGAATCCTTTTCACCCCAAGAGTCACATTCCCTTTGTGGCAGTGGCAGTGGGTGTGGTCTGCCCTGGGTTCCATCCCTGAGGGGGGTGACATCGGCGTGCCATCCCCCTGGGACACTCGCCACTTGCCACAGGTGGCACCCTCCCCGGGACACTCGCCACTCACTGCGGGTGGCACCCCCCCCCCCCCCGGGACGCTAGCCCCGTCCCTGGGTGCACATCATGTGGGTGGCTCCAGGTGCCAGAGCTTCTAGCTCTTCTTCTGCCTTTGGGGCAACCTTCTGAAAGCCACATGATAGTGGTGGATGAGCCCAGAGACAAAAGCAGGCAAAGCAATGAGAATGAAGTTTTTGCCTTCGTACAGCAAGCTAGTATGTGTACAGTACATACACACTCCCTCTCCCTCCCTCTCTTTTTCTCTCTCTCTCTCTCCTCAAGAAAGCCAGGCATCAACAGAGCATCCCAGTAAGACAAAAACACCCAAATAGGGTGCAAAGCAGAGATCGTAAGGGATGAATCTAGAGAGGGTGTGTGGTCTGGGGTGGGTCCCAAGGGCCAGATAGAGGGGCTTGGGGGGCTGTCTTCACCGTCGCCGGGCCAGAGTTTCCTCATCGAGAAGGCCACACATTCCCTGCCACTGTTCTACAGCCTGGAATTCAACGTGAATGCATTTCCTTCAACATCTGAGTCCTCTGCATATTTACTCTAAGGTGAATCTCCCTATCTTCAGGGGGTGGGTGGGGGGACTTTATCCGAAGTAAATAGGCAGAGGGAGGCAGTTCCAGAAAAGAAGAAATCCTATGGATGTTTCATGGTGCTTGGCACATTTATTTCCATGTAAGTACATGGAGGATGGCAACCATGTAGTGCAGTTATATGCACATCTACTTAGAATTAAGGCTATTGAGTTTAGAGGGATTTATTTGAAGTCAGTGGGATGGTGTAAGCAAGCAGTAATGACGGGTTGACGACATGGCACCAGCAGCTGCACGTGTGCCCTCAAAAGACCTTCTGTAGAGCCCACATGGCCTCTGCCACCACCTCTCCCTCACTGAAAGCAGGCTTGAAAGAAGCATAATGTTCTGACCAATAAAATAGGTTATGGGGTGTGTGACAGTTTTTCATGTTTGCATATGTGCTCAAGTGCCCAAAAGGTGGTGATCCTGCCCTAAATCCTTCCTTCCTTCCTAGATGACCCCAGGGACCTCTTCCAATTCTGCAATTCTATGATTCTTTCTCTTCCACCTTTTTTCCTTTTGTCTAGGTGTGGAAACTAATTTAAAACTGTTGGGAGAGGGGAGGAAATGAAGTTTTTGTCTTTCTTTTCTTTTTCACGTTTCCCCAGTGACCGCTTGTAATTGCTGACTCTATTCCGAACCATGCCAGTGCTGGTGGAGGTGAGGGGACTGGTTCATCACTAGGATTAATCTGTAGAGAATCCCTTCATGTGAACTTTTCCCCCTCTTCATCATTTGCCAGAGGAAGATCAGTTTGGTCCAGCTTACGCAAAAGATACTGTTGTAAGGTGTTTATGTGTGGTGGCGATGGGGACTTACCAAGTTTGAGGTTGGAAGAATTTTGGCTAGCAGGAACAGTAGTGACTGGAGTGGTGTTCAAATAAAGTCACTTAACATTTATGGGGGGTGGTCAGGATCTCTCCTGCTAGTCCCCCCCCAAAAAAAACTCCACGTCAACACACATACTAGCTGTGTACTGAGGAGAGCATGTTCACCACTTTAATGGAAAAGAATCCTATATACAAATCATTATATACATGCCCATAGTGTGTGTGTGTGTGTGTGTGTGAGAGAGAGAGAGAGAGAGAGAGAGAGAGAGAGACGGAGGGATTGTGTATCATGGGCCAGTGTTTATGCTCATGAGAACCACATGACTCAGTAGTGGAATATATATATACCCTGCATAACATCCCAGGTTCAATCCCGGAAATCTCCAGGAAGATCTAGAAGAAAACAGTCTCTGAAACACTCAAGAGCCACTGCCAGTAAGGGAAGTAATTACTGAGTTAGATGGACCAATGGTCTGCGGCTATACAAGGAAGTCTCCTATGTTCTCAAAGAGCTGTATCATATTCAGTTGTATGTGCACATAGCCCTTTCTCGTGAAAAGTGAATTCATGGACACCCACACAGATTTTCTCATTAACACTGAATGTGTGACTGCTGGGGAGTGTGGGAGCATGCAAAACTTTGGTACCCTAGTCAAGTAAGGGAGATTATATTATTCTGCTAGGGGGTCAGTGGTGCCATTTTAGCACAGTCCCTGTGCAGCAGAATGACCACACTTTGAAGTACAGAAACAGAAGAGCAACACAAGGCTTTGTAGGTCCTTGATAAGACTTTGGGGTGGGGTGTTGGCATTGTGCTTCAACTCGGAAAGGAGAAAGGTCCTTAAGTCATTCCATCTGCGTCTTTATTCGGCCTCCCCACATACATAATTCACACCCATAACTTGAGATGGGACCAGTCTAAGAAATGGCGGCAGACCCAAAGAATCAGGCCAAATTTGGGGGCCTAGGATGTAGGATAGCACCAACATCAGGCAGATCATGTGGCAACAGCGAGAGTGACTAGGGGAATCAAGAGGACCACTCCTGCCTGAGGATCATAAGAGATCCCACACAACTGGCAGCTGAAGGACAGGTGAAAATTGCAGAAGCAGCCTCTGCAAATTCCCACTACATACTTCAGTGGCAGGAAACCTTAGACCTGGGTACCAAATGCACCCCTCAATCCCCTGTCCAAGCCATGCCCTTCAGTGTCCCTGATCTGCACCCTATAGCAATCTTACCTGGCTGGACTGTATCCTTGAACTGTGATAATACCTCTTGCTTGTCTGAATGGAGAGTGGTGTGCATTGAATTGAGGAAGGTTCCCCATCTCTGGCCTATCTAATGTCCACCAATGTGGATTCTTGGCCCAGATGCCTTGCAGTTGCAAGCTGCCACCTTGTATTCTTCACTATCTCAGCTTTCACCAACATGGTGACCTCCATGTTTCTTGGACAAAAACTCATTTCAGTCCCATCCATTATAGTCCTGGGAGTTGCAGCCAAAACATCTGAAGTACACAAGGAGGGTGGAGGCTACCCTAGATCAATGCTACAATGAGTGTTCCAGGGCATTTAATTCTAAATGACTGCTCACAGCTGCCCACTGATATAGAAAGGGGAGCATGGGAGGCCAAATATCTTGTCAAATTTGTAGCTGGCAAAGCTCTCTAAGGGATTGTTGTTGTTGTTGTTTTTATGTATTTATACCTTGCCTTTTTCTCTGACAGGACTCAATGTGACTTAGTCTTCACCTCCTGGTAGAAGGACAGCAAGGAGGGAGCCAGCCTGTTTTCTTTAGGTAGGGAGTGACAAAGTCTAGGAGCAGCCACCAAGAAGGCCCTCTCCCACTTCCCCGCCAAGTGTGCCTGTGAGGGTGGAAGGACTGAGAGAAGGGCCTTCCCTGAAGATCTCAAAACCCAGGCAGGTTCATATGAGGGAATACAGTCTTTCAGATAGTGAACGTGTGCTGCATTCCTGATGCTGCTGGGTTGAGGGGGTCTCTGGGTGGCCAAGAGGTGACTAACATGACAGAGGGAGGTGAAAGGGTTCTGAACGGATATACAGTGGTACCTTGGTTACAAATGCTTCAGGTTACAGACTCCGCTAACTCAGAAACAGTACGTCAGGTTAACAACTTTGCTTCAGGATGAGAACAGAAATCGTGCGGTGGCAGCGGGAGGCCCCAATAGCTAAAGTGGTACCTCATGTTAAGAACAGTTTCAGGTTAAGAACGGACCTCCAGAATGAATTAAGTTCTTAACCCAAGGTACCACTGTAGCTGGTTGTTGTTTTTAAAGAACTTGGCCCAATCATATTTTGTCTGGTCAGCACACCTTAGAGCAAGGATGGGGTACCTCAGGCCTGAGCATCGAATGCAACATTTGGAACTCTTCCTGAGGCCACATACCCTTGTTGGCCACATCCCTTACGGGCCCTGCTTTGTACAAGCCTTGGGTGTTTTTGTCTGACTGGAATGTGCCCTTGAACTCTCATAATGCTTCTTGCTTGCCTGAGGAACATGTGTACAAACTAACCTAACACAAAGGTAACATTTACATTTGTTGCCCCAACTAGTTTTGCCTCTGTCCCCAACCATCACTGACATCTGGCCCCTAGAAGGTTGCTCAGAAGGGAATGTGGCCCTCATTCTGAAAAAGTTGTTCTGCAGTCCCAGAGAACTTATCAATATTTCTTTTAAGCCCATCATTGATATCCTGGGCAAGACCACTCCTTACATTGCTCTCTGGTGCTGTCTTTTCTTGTTTAATGAATTATTACCATAAATATCCCTAGTGGGATAAAATCAGAGGAAAATAAATTCTTCAGAGGAACAGAAGATGAAATGTCCTGCTTCTTTCCTGCTTCAGGCAGTGGGAAGGAGGAGATGGGGAGGGGAACGCAAGGCTCATATTAAGCCGAGAGGAAACAGGACATGCTTCAAGCCTGCTTAAACCTCCTCTCCACCCTCCAATCAATATTTTCTTAATTCAATTACTATCTTTGCCAGTCTGATGTGGGAGCAAGCAAGTTTCATCAGTTTGCTTTATTAAGAAATACATGGATGCTAGGGTAGTAGAAGCAATTGAATTGCCACTTGGAGGAAGCCTAAGAGCAAAGCATGAGGTTGCTGTGGAAACGAGAGGCCATTAATTAGCCCTCATACAATATCATTGGGAAGAGGCTCTCTTGGCATCGCTGCCCCATGCAGGGGCAAAGGGGACTAAAGCAACTATAGCGTTGCCAAATAACAAGGCCCAAAATATGAAGACCTGAACCCACAAATGTATTCATTTCATTTTCTCTGAGCTGCTTCCTATGAAAGCCCCTGAATGATTAACAACAAAGCAAGAGAAGGGCTGCGCATCTGCCTTACAAGCAGAAGGTCCCAGTTCAATCCCCAATGGCTTCTCCAGGCTATGAGGGACCTGCATCGGAAATCCTGGAGAGCCACTGTCCATCAGTGCAGACAATACTGAGCTATAAGGCAGCTTCCTAGGCTCCTAATAAAAACATCAACAATTAAAATTTATTTAAAAAAAATCAAAACCAATGCAGATGCAGACTAGGATAAAGATATTCTCTTAAAAGGCCTGTTGATAAAGGAATGTCTTTAGTAGGTGCCAGTTAACATAGGAAGATGGTCAGTTGCCTTATACCGAGTCAGACTTCTGGCCTATGTAGCTTAATATTATCAACACTGGCTGGCAGCAGCTCTCCAGGGTTTCAGGCAGGTAATCTTTTCCATCCCTATCTGGAGAACCCAAGTGTTGAGCTTCAGGCCTTCTGCATGCAAAGCAGGTGCTCTGTCACTGCACTGTGGCTCTTCCCTTAGCTTGGGTTTCGGGCAGGGGAAATTCTTCAACCTACCTGGAGATGCTAGGTACTGAACTCAGAATGTTCTGCATGCAAAACAACTACTCTAGCATGATATATGGCTCATTGGAGCAGTAGAAACAAAGGAAGCTATTTTATACCACATCGGGCCTTTGGTCCATCTAAAGTCCATCAATATTGTTTACACTGACTGGAAGGGCTCTCCAGGGTTTCAGGCAAAGGACATTGCCAACCGCCAACCCTACCTGAAGATGCTGGCTGTGCCACTGAACTATGGCTTTTCCCCATGTACTTGCTCCACTTGATTTCAGTGGGACCCAATTTCAGCTAACCTAGCTCACATCCAACTCTTTCTATGTAATGATTTTGCTGAAGATTGCCATACACCAACAGTATTTTTACTTTATTCAAAAATTCACTCTGAAGTTGGTTTTCCAGGGAGACCACTAATTACTGACCCAGGATGAGTGTTATCAGCATAAATAGGAACCATTCCCAATGCAGAGACTAGGTAGGAAATGATTTTTTTTATTTTTTTTAAGGTTTAGTTTATTGGGACTTGTTTTTTAAGAGTTGGGGAGGGAGTGCAACTTATTTTCAACAGGATGTAAAGTGAGCACACATTGACTGATTTCCCTGATGTCTTCCATACTAGCCTAATTTCTAGTAATTCCCACATTCCCCAAACAATACTGTTTGCCAGTA